GTAATAGAGGAGGGCAAACAAGTGTTTTCATTTTTTGTATATAAATTTTTTTAGATATTATTCGTAGAATACTAACAATATTTTTCATTTTACTGTAGCATTAACAGTAAACGGCATAATGTTGCATCACATTACAGAATTTAATATGAACTATAGAACAGATTATTGAATTAATGCGATTGCACTCATTGTTAGTGAAATAAAATTATATTAGATTTTCGTTCTTTCGAAGTAGGAAAGAAGAAATGATTAGTGTCATATTTTAAAATAGACTTTTTATTAAATATTCTATTGAATGTCGTACGATCTGATTTTATATTACACGAAATAATTGATTTTATGTTAATAATATAATGACGTTCAGAAACACGGAAGAAGCATTTTGTCCTGTACATTCCAATTTTAAGCTGCGATTCGGATTTTCGGTATTATGGAAACTGAATTTCTACATAATATCTGATTACGACCAGATGTCGGATTTTGTATGTTTAGTAGAATTATTGACAATGAATTTCTGATAAAGCAGTATAATTATAGTAGAGTGTGCATGAACCTAATAACGAGAAAGCAGCAGCGGCATTAATTTTATTTCATCTTTCACGCATTGTATTAAAATATGTTAGTCGACACCGTGGAAAAATTGCTTTACCAATTTCAATCTTTTACAATTATTCGAAGAAAATATAGATTATCAATTGCGCCAAACATTAAATCTGTGAATAATCCTGTTTCAAAATGAATACCAGCTGCAGAGAAAAATACACATATTGATTTATGTGTCAAATAGACATAATGAGAGAGAATGTGTACCAATATGTGACTAAAATCGTCGAATCGATTTCTCTTTAACTTTTTCAAATTAACGAATAACTTCACCCGATCACATTCACACTTCACCTAGGAAAATTAAAAATTCTAGTCACCTTTTGCTCAAATTCTTCCCACCTGAAAGCTAGTAATGCTGTAACAATCCATAATTTCACCGAATCACTCAACTTTGACACCGAATCTACACATCATTACGACAATTACCCGATACACAAGTAGTCCGGCGAATTAACCTCTGAAGTAACGAACACGCCGCATTTTCTCCGCTCCGAGATTAATACACGTGCCGTGGAAACTGCGAGTGGAACTGAAAGCGGGGCGAATTGAAAGGGAAGAAGGAATGAACGAACGTTCCTCGTTCTTGCGAGCATCGATGAATCGTCGCAGGAAATGTTAGCGCTTCTGCTGCGGAAGGTAAAGCTATCTTGTCGTATCGTGATCGAAACGCATGATCGACGTCCCGACTTATCGCGAGACTCCGGGGACCCTCGACGAAACATTGCAATTAAGCCGGCTCTGTTTGATAATAAATCGACAGCGGGAGGAAATCAAGCACGGGACTGTACATCTTTTTAACAAGGCACTTCAACCTTCGCGGAGAGACCTGATGCGTTGTTAATTACATACCAATTACCTGCTGCTGTTCACCATCATTCTTGCTCTTTAGTACTTCGTCCGACAAAAAAATCCTCTTAGACTCTCATCCTTATGTATTTATCAACTTTCTGCTTGCTTCGTTAGTAGTACAGAGTTTTTTTTTAAATAAAAATTCGAGCCTCGAGCGAATTTATAAAGTGAACTTTTTCTCTTGAACAACTTGCATAATTTATTCGGTGTTAACTGTCACTAATTTGGTATGTGAACTTTATACAGGGTGGTTCGTCAAAGTAAGATCACTTAAATATTTCCTTAAATTGCGGCGGTATAAAAAATATTTTCTGTGCTATTTAAATGGTTTGAGAAAATCATTACGTTGCAAAAATATTTTTTTCATAAGTCTATGGTCTTTTTTTGGTGCTTACAAGTTCACCTATGTTTTTTGTGCATAATTCTATAACAAAGAAAATACATTCGGACATGTATGATAACTTGATCTTCGATCCCAAATATGTCCGATAAGTTCATAGGTAATTTGAAGGTCGACTCATTATGCATGCCTGAATGTATTTTAACGCCAACCACATAATGCAATAATAAAGCATGCACTTCTATGCAAATCAACGTCGATGACCTCAAAAACTTCGAAAAAATAACCTTGAAAAAGAATTACTTCTTGCATCGTATCCGTCTATCGATACCAGTCAAATTCCGTATAAAATATTTTTTCTAACATCATTATTGGAGGGGATATAATTTCACGTCCCCTTTCAATTTTCGTACTCAAAGATCATTTCAAAGTCATGCGATTTACATATCAGGATGTATTTCTATATCAGCTACACGATGAAATCAAATAATTATAGAAAAACACCGGTAACCTTGTAAACTCTGAAAATAGTGATCTTGGAAAAAAATATTTTTGCGGTATAATAGTTTTTTCAAACCATTGAAACATCATACAAAATATTTTGTATACTCCCGCAATTTGAGGAATTATTTAAGTGGTCTTATTTTGGCGGACCACCCTATATTACATGGTATATGTTACATTAATGATATTACTTTAATATTATTTAATACTACAAATTTATTACTTTAATATTGTACGGGGTCAACAATACTTTTTATTAATATATCAAACATTTTTTTTTTCAAACAATCTTTCCGCGAATTTTCAAAGTGGCATTTATTTAACCTCGATGTTTACTAAATTAACAACTAAATAATGCACAATTTCTTGATTTTTCAAACAGTTCAGCCAACAAACGTCGAGTAAATATTAATTAGAGGCACACTCCAGGTTTAATAACAGCTTTGATTAATGAAGGAAAGATTGTCATTATCAGAAGAGAAGCTTCTAAGGATAAATAACTCCGGTAATGAGACTTTATGAAGCGTTTCGACGAAATTAATAATTCTTGAACCGTTGTCGCCTCGACGTTTTCTGAAAACATAGAAACTTGCGCAAGCATGCACGGTCTAACAACGGGTTCGTCGAGCCTGCCGACAGTTTAGACGAACTGTTGTTTATACTGTCGCATAGCTCTCGAACAGTTTTCCGACCTGCTCGAACACTCCACTAATTATTATTCGGCTTGACTCGCGCGAATTGCGTTTCAATTGCGTGCCACTCGAAAGACATTTACTTCACGCGTCAATAATACGAGTGTCTTCGCGACAGGTGCCCTCAAAAGCGAGTCTGACGCTGCTAAATGGCAACAAGCCGCGCCTGCAATTCAGGAAGAGTGCCTCGCAGAGGAATGTTCCAGCTCAGTTCCTGCAACGGAACTTCGATTTACAAGAGTCGAAGCTTCTGAGCCAGAAGCCTGGCAGGATACAGATACTAAGCGACTGTTTGGACCTCGTTTGCCTTAACACTCTAGCAAATAGATCGTCTAAACGGTTGTCAGAGTGCACCTTCGATCGAAACCTATCCGATTATCAGACATTTCCGCGTAGATATTACGCGACGTGTCGCGCTGAAGGGAAGCCTCCTTTGACATCGGAGGAAGCGAACTTCACTGAAACAGAACATTCTCTGAAAGCTGATTGTTTGAAGTATTTTGGAGACGCAACAGCTGGAAATAAACAGGAATCGAAGATAAGCGAATATCCGAATTATTGGCAGGGTTTAGATGCTGATTATTTCCAGTCGATTCGAAACACGTCTCCTTTATGCCTGGGTAGTATAGTGAGGTACTATAGCAGGGACGTAGTATCTAGAAGATATGAGAATAAATCGCTGGAGAGCGCGAAAAAACAGGAATGTCAACCTGAAGATTGTAGTAACAAGAAAGACTATTCACGAGGAGAAAAGTTGTCAGACTGTTACGAGAACGCGGAGTACAGTTCTCCACAACGTGAATGCGTACACCATGAATACAGCACAGCATCGGAGTCTTCGGACCAGCAGGGACAACGTCAACAATGTCAACGGCAGAAGGAACAACGACAATGCGAACAGCAGCGAGAACAACAGCCATGTCGACAGGAACATGACCAACAAGAATGTCAATGTCAGCACGAAATGAAAGATGAACGTCGTCAACAAGTGAAGTCGCAAGAACGTTTATCGTATCAACGCCAGCAGCAACAACAAAGACACCGACAGAGGGAACTGCTGCCACAACGAAGACAACAATATCAACAGCAACAACATCAACAGGAAGAACAACAATGCCAGCAACAACTGTACCAAGAGCAACAAGAACAGCAACCATGTCAACACCGACAACGACAGGAACAGCTGCACCAACAGCCGCAAAATACGCATCAGTGCCGACAGCAACAGCAACAACATCAACAGTGCTCGCAACAAGAACAAGTACAGTGCCCTTGTCATCAACAACAACAATGTCGACAGCAGCAAGAACAGCAATCATGTCAAGGACAATCACAGCAACAGCAGATAGATTACGAATATCGACCGCATCAAGAGGAAGAGCATGGTCTTCATCAACGTCAACCACAGAAAGAGCAACAGCAGTTACAATACCAATATCGACCATATCAAGAGCAACAGCAGGACCATCATCAATATCAACCACAGCAAGAACAAAAGCAGTGCCATTATCAACATCAATCACAGCAAGAGCAGTGCCAGTATCAACATCAATCGCACCAAGAGCAGTGCCAATATCAACATCAATCGCAGCAAGAGCAGTGCCATTATCAACATCAATCACAGCAAAAGGAACAGCAGTGCCATTATCAACATCAAGAGCAACAGCAGAAGCAGCAACAAACTTCTCATGAACAACAATGTCAAGGTCGTGGTCGAACAGATGGTCAATCATCCAGATATTCGCAACAACTAGACTACCAGCCTAAGATCGCAGTTTGCAACAATCCACCTTCATCTTCAGGCCAAGAAGGATACCATCAACCTACATACCCAACATGCAATGCTGCTCAAACATTCCCAGCGTCAACTTCGCAGTTACCATCAATTCAGCAACCAGCGTCAACATCGTGTAACCAACAGACTCAATCTTTCCGAGACAAAATAACTCGAATGTGCAGCTCCCGTTGTAAGGAACGGGATTGCAAACCTATCGATGGAGAAGCTTCTGCCACGATGAAAAGATTTTCTTCAATAAAGGAGGGACTCGTCTCTTGGATATGGAAGCGCAAGTCGCCTGAAACTCACGAAAAGGACAGCGAAGTTCCAACATGTAGATGCGAACGGCCTTCGACGGAGCCAAACTGCGAAACATGCGATCGACTGCCTCCGAAGCCTAACCACTGGGCCCAGAAGAAACAACGTACTCGGGCTTTATCATGTGGCCCTGAAGTCTACATTCCCTACGAGAGCTCGATCAGACCACAATCGAAGCATCGATCGTCACCAAGGAAGGTCCACGTGGACGAGTTGATTCAAGATCCAATAGAGTATCAGCCCATGAAGAGCGCGTCGAATCGCCGAGGTTTCAACAAGGTCTGGCAGGAGTCGTGTACGTCGAACCCGCGTATCGTCCGCTTCGAAGACAAGAAGGACTACCAAACGGCACGGAAAACTAAAACCGGCGAAGAACTTAGGAGCGAGACAAGTTTCGCAACCCTCGGCAGCAGTTCTTGCTGGAAGCCAGCGGGCACGTTCAAGATCGGCGATGTCAGCAACGCCAGGCCCAACATGTCCACGTTGAAGTACCGGCTGACCAAGTGTCCCAAGGTGGAGCAGATGTGGCAGCAATGTAAATGCGAGCTGCCCAAGGTCTCTGTGAAACCTGTGGCCTTACCAAAACCGATTCCTGTCAGACGTCGCAAAGTACAACCTGTCCAAAGTACTGGCGAATGGAGGGAACAAAAGTACCCAGTCCGCTTAAAGATTTTCAAGTCGAAGAGCACCTTGGATCCCTGTTTGCCTACCATGATTGAAATCAGTAAGGATCGGAATAGCAGCTTAGAAACGCCGAAGGTTAAACTGATGGACGGTGATTCAACTTGTACCTCAACGACGAAAAGTGAACCGTCGTTGATGAGAGAATGCGGCGATTGCGGACGGAAATCGAAGAACGCGTGTCAGCCTTGATCCTAACGCTCCAGGAAGTGTAGAGTAATTTTTGTCATCTGTAATGTATTGTTGACACTGAAAAGTGTGGTGACGTACGTCAAATTGACTTCTAACAGTAGTGGCGATGTACATCAAATTGTTTCCGTATCAATAATAGTGACTTCGAAAAAGTGGAGGTAGGTGACGTCATGCGCCGCGAGTCTTGTACACATATTGTACACATATTGCGTGTACATTATAATTCTGGACTATGAACGCGGAACGTCTGCGTCGCGTTCTTAATTCAAAATTATAATATACACGCCTTATGTGCGTCATTCCGCTGTACGCGATTCGTGACGCGTGACGTCACCTACTCCCACTTCTTCGAAGTGAGAACTGACTTATCCTGCTGCGAACGCTGAGCATGGCGTCTAATTGACTCTGCATAAGTAAACGTAAATGTTTTTGCACGCAAAAATTTCACGTACGTCGCCACTATTGATATGGAGTCAATTTGACGTCAAGTCAGTAGTGATATTTAAACAATGGTCACCGCTTGAAATTTAATTTAGATAAAAAAAGGTCATCGTTTCAGCGAAGGTATACTTTCTGGAAATTTGAGTTTGTATATTTGTCGCGCACTTATATTTTGCGTTTCAAGAGAGGTTATTGCGTCTGACTATTACCTGCTGTTTTTACTTGCAACTAGGAATTATGCTGGTCCTGGGTAGTCTGCGGCCATTAATTTCACTGTCTCTTAATTGTCAGGTGATGTCAAATTAGAAGCAATGTTTTTATTGAATAAGAAAAGTGTGAGAACAGAGTGTATCATCTCAAATATTTGGAAACCATGCGATAAATTGTAAAATAACTGAATTGAAATCATTTATATTGGCGAATTTTTTAATTTTCTTCTTACAACATTTCTATATTTTGTTGCTGTTTCGATTATTTGATCATTAATGAATCACATGGAATTACATGAGACACATCGAAATTATTCATCTTGCGGAACGTACATTAAAATTATGGGTAAAACTCCGTTATTATTACCATATACTTCATTTTCCATTGAAATATTTCATTTTCTCATGCATAAATTATTGCACATTTTGATTTTGTTTCCGCATCGATGTAAAACATATCCATTTTTCATTCTGTATTACGAATAAACGGATTATTATACAGCTGAATCATTTGTCTCGAGATAAAGTAAGCAAACGTAACCGCGAACAATTCAAAAAGATTGTTTCATAAAAGATATTTCACAGAAACGACAAAGAAACCGTGCTCTTCCGATGCGCTCTGATTATTCCTTGGCTAATTGTATTTTTCTCTTTCCAACTGGCGTTGTAATTTAATTTCCCCGCTTCGTAATATTAAAATCAACCAGCAGATAGAACGAGCACCGCCGCCGACGCATTTTATTGTCCGCCGAGCCCCGTTTTTGCGGTGGTTCTGACGTAAACGCGGGTTATCTCTTCGACATCGTACTGCAAAACAATTCGTGCACGAAAACACGAGCGAATTCCTCGTCCACGCTATCGTAACTCCGAGGAATTACCATCATTAATGTGAAATTATCATAAACGAACTGCGCACGAAAATATTGTAAACTTTGCGCGTGGCTGTAGTCTACCGTATACGAATTTCAAATTTCGTAAAATTGAATTCGTTAATTGAAAATTTTAACCGAGATTTATTTTAATCATCGAATATCGCGCACCAAAAATTCACGTTGCTCGCACGGTGTTCTTGTTAATTTTGTCCGCCGAATATTTCTTTTCGCTTTAGCTTCCATCCTACAGGTTGATGAAACTGTAAAATACGAAGTCTCACTCGCGGGACGAAAAAGTCCACGCGGAACTTGGAAAAAAATGCGCTGTAATTTGTCATAGGGAAAGGAACAGTAAGAAGCTTGCGCCTAACATCTGTTTCTAACTTCTCGCATTTATCATTGCTCTTCGGCGTATATTTTCACTTGCCTGTATCGCTATACCCAGGGTACAAAGTTCTGCATCAAATAATGTTGTTTTACGAGCCACGCACGACTTCGCTTCGATCCAGAAATGATGGATCCTCCGCCCCTAATGAAAAAGCTTGTAAACTACGCCTGTTTGTCAAAATACTCGCACTTCCAACAAAGTTCTACATTCGAACTTATTTTTTATTCGTTCAGAGACTAAAATGTTTGCGATGTAATGAAAAAATATTGTTCAGTGATTTAAATTATTAGTCAGTAGCACAAAACAATAGCTGCATCAAGGAACAATTCATAATTGTTGTTAATGGATAATATTTGTATGCATATATTTTGCACATATATTTACATGCACGTTAGGCTGCAGATTTTAGGCATTCGTAACAAACATCAGAAGATAATGTGTTGTAAGAGTGACGTTTTCATAATAACTGTCCACTCAACTCTAATAACTTCGGGTTTGTATTAGGTCTACCGGAAAGTTCTGTCCGATAGTCTCACTTCAAGTTTCAGTCCATATGCACATGTTGATTTGAGACATATATGACTATCTCTCTTTATCATTGCATTTACACACATGTACTCTCCTAAATAAACTGAAACAAAGATGTCTCATGTCATTATTAAGCGAGACGCGATCGTGAAAACATGGCTACCGATGATAATGCCAGACCACATGCTGCTTTGGCGACTCGTCAGAAAATCGCAGAGCTAGGCTGGGAAATTCTGTCGCATCCACCATACTCCCCAGACCTAGCACCCTCCGATCATCACTTGTTTCTCTCTTTGCAAAACTTTTTACAGGAAAAAAAATTCAACACTGAAGCTGATGTCAACCAAGCACTAGTTGAGTTCTTCGCCTCTAAAAATAAATCATTTTTTAAAAATGGCATTTACAAGTTACCATCACGCTGGCAAGAAGTCATAAGTAACGACGGAAAGCATATTCTACAATAAATATTATTAAATGTATGAAAATTGTGTTATATTTCAATTAAAAAACGGACAGAACTTTACGTTAGACCTAATAACACAGGAACCAATCGGACAGCTATTATAGCTATGACAACTATTCTACATAAAATCGATCAGTTTGACCAGTCTACGTCCACGACAATTTTATCAAAATAAATGAGGACATGGCTTACAGAAAATTAAATCATTGGTTCGCTGAATTTGAACATAGTTATAAATTACCCACTTTTCGTCCTATCAACTTGATAGTTCTTTCATACCAATATAGAAAGTCCAGCATATAATAGTAATTTTTCGCAAACCGAAAAATCAGTTTTACAACATCGAGATCTCTAAACAAATTCTGCCAAATACAGTAAATTCTCCCAAATTG